ATATATTGTACTTAGGTATAATATTTATGTACAAAAACATTTCAACTGAAATGTACAGTACTTTCACTTCCCAGACCAGAACACATCACTGAACAATTTTCAGGGTCAAAAGTGAAAAATATTTTTATTTACAGTAACAAATAAAAACAGACAAAACATAAAACTTTTCCCATACTACAAGGAGGCAGAGGACTGCCCTTATTTGCTACAAAGTGTCCCACCCACTCTCCCCAGGATATTGGATGTCTTGCTGTCTTCTTGTCAGTTTTCTCGTTAAGAGGATATGAAGTATTTTTTTAATAGGAGTGACTCATATTTGGTGTCTCTGAACTAGGTCTAGTATTTCTCTGCTGTGGGAAAAAGCAAGGGACAACCGTTTCCCTTGTCCTCTTTTAAACAAATAATCTCTCCCAATCTGTTCAAAAGCTTCTTCTGTCAGACCCCAGCAGTGGCAAAATGGCTCTCAACTTTGTACATAAACAGTGAAGAGTGGCATGTTCTGGTCACATGGAATTATACAGTCCCAACAGGGATATGTTCCTATCAATGGACAGGTGAAGGGTGGGGCAGAAAGGATGAGATATGGCTCTCCCCAAAGAATTCACAGGAAAAATCAGCTCCTAGCTGCTGACAGATACCAAGTGAATCCACATCCTTAAGGATGAATTAGGGGCTGTTCCCTTCATCATGTTACTGGAAGAATTTAGCTGATGTGCCAGGGATAAACCCAGAACAATTGCACGAAAGCATTCCTTCTTGGCACATTAGGTGAGCTGCCATTCCTTTGGGTGCCCAGTGTGTTCAGGAGGCAGCATAATTACCCAATAGCAGGCATCAGATAAGGCAGCAGTAAGTGCCAGAGTTAGAACCACCCCTGCAGCTGGGCCAGTAGGTGGGACAACTTACTGACACACTAGAAACAGCCAGTGCATGTCTGCTGTGATCTTTGGCTTTGTGCAATTGCTTCAGATCTCAACCAACCAGCATAGCTAGCTGTGCAACTATTCTTCTCTGGTATTTGGCTCAGGCAACAGGAACACTGCTATTCCCCAGCCTCCATGTGGAAGATTCTGATGTGAGGGCAAAGAGAAAGAATAAAGAAGACGACTACATGGAGATATACTGCTTGTTCTTCAAACTTTTCATTGCAGTCTGGGAAAAAAGAACCACATCTTCTAAACTGTTTCTGAGCCCAGAATTGTATTTAATAGAGTTAACCCTGTCAACTCTTCTAGTCAGTTCTCCTCTTTCAAACTTGGACCTTCTCAAACCTCAGTCATCTGATAACTAAAGAAGAACAACAGAGACCTAATCAGCACAGTTTTCCCCTAAGGAAGGGTCCCACTCAGAGCTCCTGTTCAAGGATCAAAATTTGGCTTCAGGAAGAAAAACAAAGGCCACAACACTCCATGCAGATCTCTAGGCAATCAGCTGACTCGCAGCAGGCATCAATGATGCCACAGTCCATGTCACAGGGCAGGTCACAATCAGCACATTCCCCAGAGCCACAGCAGCAGCAGCAGATGCAAGAATCCTCGGAGCTGCAGGAGCCGCAAGTGGCACAGTCCAGCATGATGTTGCAGAGGGTCAGGAACTCACAGAAGAGGCAGGAGAGAATACAGTGGACGCAGCAGTCTGGAATCGGAAAGAGACAAGACCATCAAAAAGCAGGCCACAGTTAGTCAAGCGCAAGAGGCTGGAATAGGGCAAAAGGACTGGACCAGAACTGGAAGGAAGAAGAAATGAAAGGCAACATTTTGCACAGCTGGAGCACAGCAGAATTCTGCAAAGGCATCCCTCTGAAGCTCTAAGGATGCCAAAAAGAGCACTAATGTTGAAACAGACCAATTGTGTACCAGTATCTGAAAGCCCCTGGGACCACCTTTAGGACATTTTGTAAATATCCTGTGGGTGGGGGTTGGCTGGGCCTCATAATACAAAATCCCTGTTCCATGGATCAGAGTACAAACTAGTGGCATTTGAAGGGGCTGAATGTATGAGTGAGTAAGTGATTATCTGGGATGCTACAGGAAAAAGAAACATACCTAATAATCTTTTGGCAGTTTTGATGGCAAGTTTGGAGTACTTCCAGATGCACAGCTCATAGCACTATTAATGAATTGTGTAGCTAGTCCATCTTTCTATTCTTAACAGATTTTCTTTGATACAGAAAAAGGGGAGGGGGGAGAAATACTGAGAAAATGCAGGAGAGTGCCAAATGGAAGAGAATCCTTCTGAGCTCTCAGTAAAATTCCAGCGATGAGGCAGGGAGGATTTTTGATAAAACCTTCCTGGTCACAATATTTATAGCATGGACAGGGTACTCGTAGTCCTCCAGATTTTACAGAACTAAAGCCCCTCCATGTCCCTAGCATTAGCTCCTCTGGCTGGATTCTCCAGACGTGACTTAGAGAATCCTGAAGGAGTACAGGGCTTTCCTTTTGAACATACTACACATTGCCAATGGTACACAGCAGATTCCATGATGGGCCAGATGTCCTATAGCTCTCAGAGGGATGGTAAGCAACAGTCCTTCCATCAGTTTCTTGGAAACAACTGCCATTGGGCTTCTCTGGTAGAATAAAAACAACTAGTCCCCAGTAACTTCCATAGTGAATGTATGTCTTAACAATGCCTTAAAACAACATTAAGGTCTAAAATCAGGCCTTTTTTAAAGGTTAGGAACCACTCTTAACCATTTGTTTGAGGTACAGACCACAATGGATAGTGTGATGTTGAAAAGTGAGCATATTTGGATGATGTCCTTGTGCAGAGTGAACTTATCTGGTTTTGGGGGGGGGGGTTGTTGATTTTTGAGAGAGTTTTGAGGACAAGTGTCTTTGTTTCTGTAAAATCTGTATGTGATGTGCCAGATAAGCCTTGTTCTTCAGTGACATTGCTCAAATGACACTGATCTCCTGCAGAAAGAATCCAGGCTGGGTGGAAACTCAATACACAACTTTCTGTAGGTGGCTGATATCACTTGAGCGATGTCAGAGGACCCTGGACTTCTGGTGCTCTAGCTTTTAGAACATTTGAATAGAGATTATACTACCTATATTAAGGTTTTCACTACAGTTTTGATGCACAGGTAGTCCTTGGGTTACAACAGCAATTGGGACCAGAACTGCCATTGCTGAGTGATGCAGCCGTAAAGCATGATGACATGTGACTGTGCTGCTTAGTGACCGCTGTTCCAGCAGTCCTGGTTGCCATCATTAAGCGAGGACCATGTGGCTCATTAAGCGAGAACCTCACATGACTCTGACTTCTGACTTCCTGCTGCTTCCCCATTGACTTTGCTTGTGGAAAGCTGGCAGGGAACATCAGAAATCATGATCGCAAAACCACAGCTTGCTGCGACATCGTAATCATGAGGTGGGTGCCAAGTACCCAGATCATGATCACATGACTGTGGGGATGCTGCAATGGCCAGAACTCCAAGAACTGGTCATAAATCCCCCTCATTCAGCGCTGTCACAAATCAGAATGGTCACTGAATGAGTGGTCGTAATCCAAGGACCACCTGTATTTCCCACATTAAATGGCAGGAAACCATCCCACTAAGTTATGGGAATTGTGGTAGGAGGGATATCCAAGGGCTGCAAAAAAGAGAGATTCAGGAACTGCAAATAGCTGTGGAGCTTCAGTTGCTGATCCTTCTCCTAAATCATCTCATAAACAAATGAGTATTTGCTTGCAGTACTTACAATACTCTCTTATTCACTGCCCTCCCCTATTTATACAATGTCTTCTAGATAGTAAGTTTCTTGAAATCATGTTGTTTAAAAAATATATATATACTTAGGAATGCAAATTAACAGGGGTGAGGAAAATACACAGTGAAGCAGTAGTTTGGCATCTATATTGGAAAACAAAGCAGAAGTGTGTAGACAAACCACAGAAAGGAGCAATGGAATTCAAACTCCTGACCTACCTAGTTTCAAGAGCAGAAAACATTCCTCAAACATACATTTATACAGCAAAGATGCTCTATGATGACTCCTGTAACAATGTTCCCATACAGGGACCCAGTAATAATTCAAGATAAAAGAAGTAAGGGCAGGACTACCCAGAAATGTCCTATTTTGAATTAATACTTTCGAGGACAGTGGAAGTATAAGTAATTACCCTTAGTTCAAAAGATACTGGATGTCTTCCCTCAACCCTTTGGCAATGTCAGTGGATAAATCTGAATGGATTGAATATCAATCTCATGGGATCAGCCTGTGTTCTAAAAAGCGGGCCCAAGTCTTAATAATCTCCCAAGATGAAGAACGTATTGAAAGCTTAAAGCTGGTATCTTAATTAACCAAATTCTGAAAGGGGAGGGAGGTACACAGGTTCAAAACTAATGTAAATAAACAAGCCCTTCAGTCTCTAAGGTTGGATGAGAACTCTCCTTTTCTCTTTCTCATCCCAATTTCTATTTGCTGCCTATATGCCTTCATTATACCTTCCCTTCCCCTCTTCTCCATCCCTCTCATAGATGGACTCCAGTAGTCTATGGTTAATGGCAGGCTGGGAGCTATAACCTTGACCAAGGGCTAGATTACAACATGGACTAGAAACCAGAAGAGAATATCTACTACGGCAAGGGGGGTATGTATTAAATTGCTCGGTGAAGCTGTGATCTCCAAAGTCAGTGTAGGCCGAGTGACAAGTGGAGGCATCAGCGTTTCTCTCCCTCTTTCCTCCTTTCCACACTGTTGTATTTCTATCCACCTATCCTTAGGTTGGCTGAAAGTTATACGCCCATGAAAGCTGCTGTCCTCATTGCTGAACCCTATTCTGCCTCTATTCCCCCTGTTTCAAGACTCTGCAATCGCCTGCCTTCCCTCCAAGGGAACGGGGGATAATGTCTAACTGATTTTACAGGCTGCTCCTTGGATTGTGTTGGAAGAAAAAGAACAAATGGGAGCACAGCCTCTTTCGCTTGGAGGACCAAGGCAACCAAAATAGTCATGCATGAGGAGAAGTACCTTCCTGTGCTTCTGTAGGGATTTGAGAGGATGCTGATTTGGTGCTGCTCTTGCTTTTTTTGCTGATATGGCTGTTGATGGAGTGATGGGACTGCAGTTTCCGATGAGGCTTCTGGGAACTTGACAGTGATCTAAGTTCGGAACACAAGATCCCATTGCCAGCCTCTCCCTTAGAATTGCTGAGATCATCTGATAAATATCCAGCACCGTTTTGTAGCAAAGGGACACAAGTCAAGTCTGAAGGAATCTGGACAGTGACTCGGCTTTGGGGCTGGCCTGTTGGAGGAGGAAAGACAGATTTTTTTAAAAAAATCATAACTGTTTAAGTCAATGTACCAAGCTTTGTACACATCTTCTAATTTACTTGATAGATAACATAAACTGCTTGACAAAGAAAAAATAAACTTTAAACAGCAAATCATCTTGCTTTTATTTGTTGTCGGGGAAATGCTCTCCATCTGGACTTCTTTAATTTAAGTTTCCTGGATGTAATTTTTTTTCTTTTTAAGTTATTACCACTATTTATACAGAACTTTAAGTTAACATACCAATTTACAGACACTTAAAAAAAATTAATGAAAAAACAAAATTCTAGCCAGACTTTATGTGATATTAGTATCTACGCCCCTGCAAAGCCCAGTAGAAGTAGAACACCCAATAGAATCAATGGTTAATTTTTTTAACCCTCAGTTCCAAATTCAGGCATGATCTATTGAAATTAATCTAAATAAAAACAGACATACAAATCATAGAAGAGCACAAAACTGTAACTGTAGCTTACACAAGCTATCCCTTCCTTCCAGAAGATTAAGTTGGGAGTGGATGTACATATGAGGTTTATCATATCCTGAATCAAGACACTGTGCCATCACTTTTGATTATGACATGTTATTATTGGACAAAAAGAGAATAGATTGCTTGGAATTATTCCCTTACCCCTTTCCAAATAAGCAACCTACACAATCAGAGATACTGTATGTTACTTGTTTCTTCTTTGCATAACTTGCTCCTGGAGCAATCATTTTATTGGCTTTAATTTCTCAGAAAACATTCTGGTTACTTATAAAGATTGCTTTCCCTCCACAGTCCTCAATGCAATTGAATCAATCAGCTAGGCGTGGAACTGAGATTGAGATATCAAGAGCACTTAATTCAGTCCTATGCTGTCCAGCAATGCCCCTTCCTGTAACTATGTTCTTTCTGAACAACTCATAGGTAACGTAAACCTTCTTTATAATAATAATTAAAAGCCTCCTCATTTTATTGCTTCTGTTTCAGGACAACTAAGGGATTAGCAATGACTTGTCCCATCACGAGTCAGCTCTCAGAGTAGTAGCTTCCCTTACTCATCAGCTTAAACTGTGAGCAACAAAAGTGGGTAACAAGTTAACAGAGATAACATTTTCCCACAACAGATGCAAACATGTTGTAGTAATCAAAGATAATTATTTATGTTGTAAGGTAGGACAGCAGCTGTTCCTATGAGGATCTGTAAACAGAAAAAGAAGAAAAAAGAAGCTGATCTAAAAGATGTGGTTGTTCCTTTTCCCTTAATGATGATTATCTTTGAAGTTTGACACAACTAAAAAGCCCTTGAAAACACAGGACAAAGTTCCCATATACTACATATATATAGAAACTTATTGTCTGGAAATAATTTTTTTCTCACAAGTTAAAAAAGTGTGGCCTTTTAAAATAGGTTTTGGAATCTAATGCATGCTTGCATCTAGAAGCTTACATTACTGCTGTGTTACGCTGCTATGAGCATCTTTTCACTGTTGAGTTTTTAAACAAGATCAACATGATTTTTCATTTTTTACTTAATTTTGTGTGCTTTTTGTTAATGCCAGTCATACATATGCATATGTGTATGTTCATGTACTGTATATATGTATTTAGTGCATTTATGTGATCCTATGGAGAACAGCTTTTTTTTTTAATCATCCAATAGAAAGTAGAGGGGGAATTACAGTAGTTGTAGTGAGTGTATATGACCAAAAAAAGCCAAACCGCTAAATAAACTAAATATGTAAATTAGGGTATGATATTAGGAGATTAACCAATGATTTCCTTCTGCATTTCAACAATTTCTAAGACCCAGAAAGTGGATATCTGCAAATCACCAGAGCTTTTAAGGAACACAAATGTATTCATTCTCCCTTACTGTCAGCTTCATTGGGGCCTGCTGTCAGGCAGAAAGGTGGAATAGAAGTATATTAAGTTAATAATAAATAGTAATAAACAGCCATATTCAGAGTTGTTAAGAGGTATAATGATTTATGACTTTTAAAACTCAGAAAATTGTATTGAACACATGCCAAAATTGAATCTATGCACATGTTCTGCATGAAAAGTGTAATCCAAATACTCATTCAGTGCCAATTTTAAAAAAGGAAATACGTATTTGGAAGTATTTCCATTCAACTTTAATAGCATTTTTATACAAGTAACTATGCTCAGGATCACAGCAGAAGTCCAAAACAAGCAAATAAAACCCTGAAAGCCCATTAGGAAATGGCTGGGAAAAAACTGTCTGAAAAATGCAAGCATTATCCTGATTTTGAGTCTACCCTGGTGACTGGGGGGTGGGGCAGAGCAGAACTCCTTGGGGTTGACAGGCTATATGTGGCACCTTGGGGGAGTGGCCTTCTCTGTATTAAGCAGCTTCATTGTCTTCTCTGAGTGCTGCTAGACAAGCCTACAGCTCTTCCTCCACTGCAAGCCATGCAACAATAAAAGAGCAATTGTGATTGTAACCTGTTGTCTAGCTGTATCTGTATGGCTGCATTTGCTCCAATGGAACCTACAAAGTATTTATGGCCAAGAGATCATATATATTCATGGCTACTTTGCCACATTGCAGCATTGCCGAATTTCAAACTATGTACACCAGCCCCTTGAGAAGCAAAAAGCAACCAGATCTAAATGGCAACCACTCTGTTGGAGGCAACATGCTGACTGATTGTGGTTTGGCTGCGAATGCTCAAGGCTCCTTAAAATATAAATTTAGAAATATTCTAATTTAAAGAGAGATGGAGAAACAAAAATAAGAATGGCAGTGCCTTGCCTAAATTCTTTAGGGCATGATATTTTGAAGTCCATGTTTCAGTTCTGCCCTGTATTTTCAAATAAGACATACCCATACAGGATTTCATATAGTTTTTTTTAATGTATTTTTGACACACTGATATGGGGTTCTAACTTCAGTGCATACATTCTCTGCAGTCTATATCACACCCAGGAATGAACAGGACATATACAAAATGACCTGGTGCACATCTACACCATGGATTTTTACCAGGTGTTAATAAATTAATAATAATTGGCTGGGTTCACATAATACACTAAGCCAAAGTCCATCAAAAGCACATTATCGCTTTAGTACAATATGTGAATCAAGAATACACTGAACGGCTTTTTAAGAATTGCTACTCGAAATAATGGGAAAAAAATAAAGGAGCACTTTAAAAAAATTTTAAAAATCCATCCCAACTTTTCAGTGTTAGCCAAATGTTTAACTTTCTGAAGGCTGTAATTAAGCAATGTCCCAATGTCCCCTATAATCAGAACAGTACAGAAATGATACTTAGGTATACAAAACATGTTGAAGCAGTCTTAAAATTGTTGATTTAATTGACAATGAGCAGATTCATGGAAAAAAAACTAAATTATCTTGGTCAGGAAAGATATTTGAAGGAAACCAAGCATAATTTAAACCATTTATGAACTATAAGGCAATCTTGTCAGACTAGAGCTAAGCAAAAGAATGAGATTGGCCCAAAAGCAACCAATGAGCCCTCCACCCACTACCTAGCTAGACCATGTATTTTTTTTTTTTTTTGCTAGAATTTACATTTCTCTCCTCTCTTTGGTTTGTAAATGAGCAATGATTCAGCAGAAAGTCTTGAGAGCTAAAGGCACTGTGAGCTAATTCAAGAAACAGAAGCGATATTCTTTCTGGGGTGTCAGCTGGACAGGGCTCCTGGACTTCTCAGATGAAAAAGGCCACACTGAGTCATATTGAAAGCACCGTGCATAGCCTTCAAACACAAGATGCTCCTTGTATCATGATACTGAGGAGCCAGGCAATGCACAGTAGATGGCACAAAGACAATCCTAGTTTCTCTAGTTGTGGGTAATCTACCAAAAGTGTGTTACTCTTACTCCACTCTCAATTATGAAATACTGGAATCAAAGAGAAAAGAAGTAGAATGGAAAGCATGAGGACACATAACTATTGTGATTTTCACCTAAGTACACATCCTGAGGTGAATACAGAAAAGATCTAGTTGTTTTGATTTTGGTTTGATCAATAGAAATGGATGCTCAGTCCTGCAAAACCAATCTGTGCAAGTAACAAAACTGAACTACTCTCCTTCTAGGAGAGTCATTTATAAGCAGAGTTTCATTACAAACTCAATAGCAAACACTTACGTACACACAGAATGCTAGCCTAGGCAGATAAAATATCAAAAGGATTTTTTTTTTTAGTTATAAGCCAGAACTGTTAATGATCAATAATGGTTGCATGAAATAAGCATTCTATGAAGACTTTTTTCCCCTAAAGAACAGAACAGAATAGAACAGAATAGACTAGACTAATAAATTTGGCTTTCTATAAGGATTACTCTCCTGAAGAATAGACAGAAACCATTTCTGGCTGATGAGTACTTTTCATGATTAAGAAACATCCTCCTTTAGCAATTTTAGAATTTATTTTAAAGACTTCTAGAACACTTTTCAGCTGATGATCTCAGAGCATCCCAAATCAAGGTTTGGTTGCATTTTATAACATTGTCCTTAGCCTCTTAGCCAGAACTATCCTGTTTAACTCATGGGTACAAGGATATGTGAACTAAGAGGAGATATGTACTGCTGCATGTTCAATGCACTAAATCACATATGCCCTATGCATACTGTATTATAATTAACATTGAATCAAGATTACATACCTTAAGTTGTTCGGAGCACAGGCTCCTGAACTTTTTTTGAAAGAAATTGTTTCTTAAAATACAATTTGTTTCTTGACCCATCCATGACCCAGGTATGCAAACATTAGCATTCTGAAAACAGTCTGCACTGTGGCTTTCTTTCTGCCTTTTTGTGACTCCGGAAAGGCTGCATTAGCATGCTAATGGAAATTTTCCATGAAAGTTTCTCACTTACTAATAATGGCTACCAAGATCTAACTACATCTACAACACATCTGCAGAATAACAAGAGCAGGTTTTGTTTTTGTACTTAAATGCTTTCTGGGAGGAAAACATTTTGTTATACAGTTTCAGCTTAAGTTTAAGAATGAATTTTGCTGGCTGCATTCAATGGAGCCCATGAGAATATGGATTTACACACTGACATGACCTTAACTGCAGTGGCATGAGTGAACCATTCTAATCATCATTATTTCAGGGATGAAATTATAGAGTGGGGACTCCCTTAATCAGATAATTACAGGTGGGAATTTTGCTGATGATAAAGAATTTTGTTCCCAGCACATTATTGCAATTTTTCTTGGCTCTCCAACATCTCCCTTTTCAAACCAGACCAACACCCAGTGCTCCAGTAGCAGTGTCCAGTGTTTTTAAAGGTCTCTCTGATTCAGGGGTGAATAAGGACAACAGATTTATGTGGTACAGTCAACAGGGAGCTTCTCTCAAACAAGCCCACCAAAACAAAAGAGTTGTACACATAGGCTATTATTGTTTCTTTATGTTGTTTTCTGAAAAAAGAGAGAAAAATTAAACTAAGGAAATGAATATGCCACATTTATAGATAGAATATATAAATAAAATATATTTATAGATAGCCAGTTTGGTCTAGTGGTGAAGGCACCAGGCTAGAAACCAGGAGACTGAGTTCTAGTCCCACCTTAGGCATGAAAGCCAGCTGGGTGACCTTGGGCCATTTGCTCTCTCTTAGTCCAATTGTGGGGAAAATAGGAGGAGGAAGGAGTATTACATATGTTCACCAACTTGAGTTATTTATAAAATAATAAAGGCAGGATAAAAAATCTAAAATATATATTTTTATAGATAAATTTTTATTATTTGGGGAAAACTGGATTTTGTAGCAAAACATTTTAACTGAAAGGCTCAAAAACTGAGAAAAATGTCACACTCTGATGGATGAAATAACAGTATGACCATTCCTTTGACCTGGCTCCAACCACATTTATATTGTTATAATGTAAATTGGGCTATGTCCCACAAGTAACCTACTTACCTTATATAAAACTTGTTTTATTCCTAAATTACACTAGCAACCAAACAAAGAAAATCCGTTCTTATATCAAGTTGCAGAGACATTATGATTTCAGTACTCAATCTGAGTACCACCCTTCAGTTCAGCTCAACTGGCAACTACATGCACACTACTATGCAGGTTTCTTAGTAATAATGGAGAAGGAGATGGCCACCACCTACTTCTAGGTTGCTTTTCCCATATAAATGTGGTGTAGCCTACAGCCCTGGCATTGCTATCTAAGGGATTCCCATTACTGTTAGTCTCCCATCTAAGTACTAACCAAGTTTGACCCTGCTTTGAGGCCAAAACAAGCTTTCAGGCCCAAGAAGGTCACCCCAGTGCTGCCCCTGCTGAAAAGCTCAGCTTTCCACTTTTATTACATGTTGTGAGTCAAAATTCTGTTGTAATCATTGAACAGCATATTCAAACAACATATTTGAAATAAGCCAGATTTAAAAGGTGCCAAACTAAAGACATAGGAATGCCCTAAGGTTGGGTGTATCTAGCATCTATGCACTCAATCACGGACTGAAATTGAGATAAAAGGCGCCATGATCAGGGTCAGAGTACCTGTATGTTTCTGTATTTGTGCCTGTTAATCAAATATGTTAGATAAATGAAGATTTCTAAAAAGAATCAATTTCAAATCAGGGAAATCCACTCATTTTTTTCTAAACCAGTGTTTCTCAACCTTGGCAGTTTGAAAATGTGTGGATTTCAATTCCCAGAATTCCCCAGCCAGCCTTGCTGGGGAATTCTGGGAGTTGAAGTCCACACATCTTCAAGTTGCCAAGGTTGAGAAACACTGTTCTAAACTATTTAAGATCTCATCAACTGAGACAGCATTTGAAAATGGGTATACATCTGTTCTGTTCATAGCAAGGATATCAATGTTATATAAAATATATAATTTTTTTAAAGTTAACAACAACAGGTTCTTTTGAAATGATTAAGAAGCTCAGGGACGATTATTTAGGATATGAACTCGTTGAAGCTCACTGGAACCGTTTATAGCGTAGAATTGTGTTGAAATCTGCTATAGTGAGTTGCCAAGAATTAAACATCAAGATAATTCATAAATAAAATTACCATCTGCTAAAACTAGACAATACAAATTGCAATGTTTTTCAAATGTGTTTGGGAGATTGTAAGTAAAGGAGTTTATATTGTCATCTTTACTGGCAATACCAAAATTTTTTGGTCACAAGCTTTTGAAGAAATTGAGAAATTATCTTTCACAACGAATCCTGCTTTTGAATTATTGCCCATATTTCCTAAGACATATAATATTTTTCTATTTCTTTCTGTAAAACTTGTTAAGAAATAAATAATAATGCATTTAATTTAATTAAAAAAAACAGAAATTGGTTGACTTTTTCAGCTGCCTACCCAGTTTGGTATCCCAAAACATGGAAAATTAAAATGAATCTCTCAGTAGATCAGTGGTATTTAAATGTGTGGGAAATTGCTCTGGTTGAAAATTTTCATACAATGACAAAGGGCTCAAAAAAAAAACTACTATAAGGGATTTTTTTTTTCAAATTTGGTTATGTATTTATTAGTTATGTTAAAAATGTTTTCCCTAAAATATTACTTTTGTCTGTAGAATATTTGTTCTAAATAGAAATATTGAATATAGCTGCTTAGAATGTTTGGGTCTCTTTCATTCACTTACTGTCTCAGGTACACATGCTCTCCATTTTTAAAAAAAATTCCTTTTGTTTTGCCCCAATTTATTTTTTCATTTTTAACTTCGTAATTTTGTTTTACTTTATCTAGATATTTTGTTTCTTATTTAAAAAAAGGCAAGGAAAAAGATGATATGATTGGAAGGAAAAAACATACACGTCACAGCTTCTGCTACTGTGAAGTTGCCCTCAGATTCTGTGGGGGATGAAGAATTTCCATTCATCAGGGATCTGTGAGATGATGAACATTCTTCCAGTGAGATTTCTTCTTTCACAACTGTGGTATGATTTTGAGAACTAGGAATAGAGGTTATGGAATTTGGAGTTGCTGGTGCTACCTCTGAAGTAGGCCTGGAGGAAGGGCATGAGTTTGTATCTTGGCCTGCAAGAGAAGAGAGGGTTTCAGCATGAGTATAGCTTACTTATGTTATGGATAGTATGTGTCTTCAGAAAACCCCAGCTGATAAAAGTGGAAATATCCTTACAGAAGTAACAGTGTTTTTGTCTCTCTTTCACATATACATACACAGAGAGAAAGAGAAATACAAAAGTAGACCTCATTGTCTGCCGTCACATTATCTGTAATTTCATGCATCAGCAGTTGTTGAATATAGAGTAAATGGGTTTGTGACCCTCTGTTTTTTGGCACACAGTACTGGTCCATCAGCTATTTTGTGCATGAACAAAAGTATACATCCGGCCCTCCTACCCAGAATCCCCCAGTGATCTGTAGTGTCCTGATTTTATATTGGTTGCCCCCTTCTCATATGTTACTTCTTCCAGAGTGAAAATTAGGAACTGCATACCACAGAAAGCAGCCCTCCACCTATTAAAATGTTGGAAGAGGATGAGTGCTTTACTGCATCCTTATTTTGATTCTGTATTCTATATTCAAGTATCCTTACTTTTTTGTGATTTTTCTGGGCCTCTAGAACCCAACCTTCCAATTTCTATAGACTCAAGGATTTGTTAGGCTGGAATGTAATCCTTGTAAATGAGATCCATCTGTACATATATACACACAGCATGACAAGATATCAGTTCAGCTTAGAAGCCAACTAATGTATGAGACTGAGCCTGTGTGCTCCATCCTGTCTTCTCCCCTCTGATAATACTTCCCTTTTTAGGGCATTGCTGGGTTTAGTTAGTTATAGTTTCCCATAATCTCTAGTGCTGAATCAGGCTATAATATCATGTGCTTTGGACATCATGGGAAATTATGGCATAGTGTCAAAAAGAGAAAAGGGAAGGATTTGTGTGTGGCTGTACTGTGTACAAATATTGTAATAATAATCTACTTCTACAGAATCGTACTGTAGAAGTAGATTAATACTACTATTCTGTGTATGGTCTCAACATTCCTATAATTAATTTTAATCTCATTGTGTTTAGTTTTTAGTATTACTACTTCTCATTTCTCTGTTGAAACCTTCTCAAGTTGGTCAAAGACCACAATAAAGATTCAGTTTGATACTGTGTATATCTGGGCTTAATAAATTAAGATACATAATTTTGAACTGGACCATAGAAGTATTATGAGCTTAAAAATATTAGTCTTTTTACTACATGGACAAAAAATGAAAAAGTTGAATCAAAGGTGACTCAGTCTTATTTAAAGGAGATAAGAGTTGCATAATATGCCTTTTAACTCATATGAGGATTGTGCATAGGGCAATAATGGGGTGTGGGAAAATACTTTTCCTGCACTGAATAGGCAATGTGGAGAGTGTCCCCCCACATGCGTATTCCCCAAGTTTGGAAAGTCTGCTGGCCTGTTCATAAGCTCAAACTAATTTGACTTAGAACTTTTTATGTACCTGCAATTTGGCCTCAGAGTGAAGAAAGAGTTCTAATACAACTTTCAGTGACTAGATAAATCAAATTTAAGCCTCACCCCTCAAATGTTGAGCTCACTCACTCTTGATTCTATTTTACATTAAAAAGAGCCAGAAATATTATGCAGGAGAGAGCGAATGGAATAGTAACACTATGTTAGTGACACTCTGAATTACATTCTTTCATTTGTAAACCCCAATTATTGTTACCACTTGTCCTTTGGAATTCATCCCCTTCCCCCTGCTGGTGCAACTTTCTCCATTCATGTATCTCAATTTGGCAAAAGTGGTATCTGCTGAATTTATGCTTCTCATGGATGTGGCAATGTTGTCATTTTTTCTCCATTGTTTTTAGTCCACAGAAGACCCAAAATTGTGAAATAAAGTGTCTCGTTTCAAATATTGAATTACCCCTGCCATGCATGTGCTTCAGAGCAATTGCTCCTTTTTTCTTGCCAAACATACACAGACTAAAAAGGCACTGAGGCTATCTGTGAAGCTACAACAGTTAACTGTGTGTAATTGGGAAATGCCTTGATGCAATGGCTGAATTTTACTGGATTGAAAAGGGACCTGTTGAAAGAGAGGAATACCAAGGCACGAGAAGAAAATTGGGGATTCGCTGAAATCAGTGGCCAAACTCCCACTGAGACTCAGAGACAGCAGGCTGACAAATCTCTCTCTTCACCCCTAAAGCACCTTCAGCTTCACCCACAGCCCTGCTCCTTCCTGCTCCTGCTGGGCACTCAGAATAGCAACAATTTACACACAAGACGAGCAGCTGGGTGCACCAGCTTTGGAGGGGTGGAGTCACATTTTATATAAAGTAAATTACACCTTAGGTGAAGAGAGTGAGACCAAACACCCATAATTACACTGCCGGTAACAACAAGGCCTCCTTGCAGTCAGGCAGGGGGCTGAAGGCAGGAAGCAAGAGGCTTTGGACCCATCATTATATTGAATAGAACAAGTGGTCCTACATGCAGGCAGACAGGGAGGAAAGGAGGCAGACCGCACACACATAATTTTAGTCAACGTAACACAGAGCCCAGTATGAAGACTGAGGGATGGAGTCTCAGGCTACTATAGTTAACAGGCTATTTTCTGTGTGATTCAGAAACATCTGCATAAACAAATGATTTGAGGTGACTCATACAGCAGCATTGTAGAAGCTTTCCAAAAAATGACTTTTTTGTCCAGTATCAGAATGCCCCAGCTATTGGCAATTTTCATCAAACAGAAGCCATCACTTTGTAATTTAAGGTATGTTCTTCCCTCCCTCAGCATTTGCCCTAAGAAAGAAAAGCTGGCTTTTCCTTTGAAATACAAAACATTCCTGCCATTGTTATTACACTGGAAACTTCAGCCATGATTTTGCAGCCCATGGGAGAGATCTCTTTTCTTTGTGAGGAATTTCTAGAAGTCCCTCCCACCCCTCCACCCCCCGCCACCACCTCCTGGTGGCTCTGCTCAGCTTCCACATTTCATTTCTATGTGAAACAGTCATCTACAAATAATCGCCCCCCTACCCCAATAAAGTTTTATTGTTTTGTTCATGGAGTCTCCAGTGCCCTGCTATTTTCGTATGGTTTACTTGGGTTGTGCAGAATCTTCAAAGAGGTATGTCACACGGTGTATTGGCAATAACAAAACTACTTTTCTTAAAGAAGTGAGGTAGCCATATTATCTGAAAGGCTTGGAACAGCAGCTTTAAAGATGGGAAATGGGTCAGACTAAACATGCTGTTACTTACATAGATGCACAAGTGGGACCCAGTAGTTGTGCATGTGCATGCATGCAGAGGCCACCTGGAAACCCCTCAGACTAGCTGCATCAAGCCTTGGATAGGATGTGGTGCTTCAATTCATTGAGAAGGGGCACTTTGCTTCTTTCAAATGTATTGCACTTCCTTACTGCTTCAGTCAGATACTCCTTCAGTTCATCACCTATTGCTCAAAAGGGCTTCCCTTATGCAGGCTTAGCATGGTACTCTAAGTCTGCACCCAATGAAAGAGGCTTCCACATGGAAGTTTTTAACCATGTTGCCATATCATCATGATTTCAACCCCTCAGAGGGGCTTCTACATCGCTGCATCTCATGACAACATAGCTCCTGTGTCCAAGGACATTCCTTTACAAACGTTTTTCCTCACCTCCACTCCTCACAGAGCCTCAGAAGATATTTTGTTTTCAAACTGCCAGCAAATGTTGACTAACAGATTGATGGAAATGCAGGTTATGTTAAAGTTATTTTATTGTCTTATTGTGAAGGAGGAGTGAACAGAGTGACCTGCACAAACTCAGATGCCCTCAAGATAGGGCCTGCAAGGCAGCATAAGAGACATCCAACAGCGGTTCAACTTAGGGTAGTAAAGGCAAACACTGATTGGGTGACTTTCCCTGAAAATTCTATAGTTGTAGAAATATAGATATTCCAATGGATTATAATATGATAATCAAGGTAGATCAGAAAAGGTATTAAGAAGTATTCCGATTCCACATAAACATGCATTTAAAAGCTTTAGGAAGGGAATGGGCTGATTGTCTGGAAAACCCCACTGTCAAAATTTGCAAAATTTGCTTAGAATGTAAGAAAACTTAAGGAATTTATTTATCAAATACATTTAAAAATAAATTCCTTAAGTTTTTAAAATTGCAATTGGATATCCTTTTGAAAGGAAAAACAGATTTTTGCTGGATAGGGATGCATCAAGTCAATATATCTACAACACAGAAGTGTTTATAAGCCTTGATGAATCTTATGAAAGAAAAGTTAATTTAGCAAGTGGAATATCAATAGATGTACATGGGAAAAACAGCATTAAACTGAAATGCCTGATGAATCATGATGAAATCAGGAATGTGACATTTCAAGAAGCGCATGATGTACCTTATAATGTAACTGGATGCAAGTTACACTGTGTTATTTTATGTAATGTGATTTTAAATTGTGCTAAAAATAGACTTTGCACTGTTACAAAAGACTACCAAGTAATGTTGAAAAGACAGCACAATGAATCTAATTTGCTGGAACTTATACAGCCTAAAGCAAACAGACTAACAGGATGCATGCATAATAATAATCCCGTGAAGCAACATAAAAGATTTGTTAAACTGCACCATGTGAAGGACCTACAAGAAAAAGGGAAGTAAACTGATGTACCGTCCAACTGATATTATGGTGTGGGATGCACTTACCGTCCAGGAACTGTTTCTTCTGCTTGAGAAAAGCATTGGGAGTTGAAGTATGAAATCATGCATGGTGGTACAACCCACAGTATTATTTCCAATGGCTCTGAAAAGTTGTCCTTTCTAATACAGATAGACATAGATAATATAAAATGCTGCTTGTTCATAAATGATGTTTGTTGATGTTTAATAAATAAATATCAAACTATATTTTTGTAAGGTGTACTGAGTGTTGTGTGTGTTAGCTCTGATCTGGATACAGGGAATGACTGGGAATGGGCTGGGGGCAAACTTAATTGGAAATTACTCACAGTAATTTTCCAAAAAGGGTCACACTGGACTCCCCAGGTTCGGCTCC